TAATAATAATAATAATAATATATGCATTTATATAGCGCTCAACACCGATTAAAGCACACAGGCTCTGCGCTTTACAATACAACAGGAACACATATAAATATAATCAGTACATTGTGTTCTAGAAGCCACCCGACGCTTGTAATGTTTGAAAAGCAAAAAAATTAATTAATAAATTCCTGACACAACAACGCCATCAACCAAACAACAATCACGACAAACGTGAAAATGATTTTTTTTAAAAATCAAAACCATTAAAAGCAAAAGTGTGTGACTTAAAAATGTTCTCTTAACGTAGCAATTCACGAAGCGATCGGGGCACGAACTACGCCAGGTCGGGGTGATCTCTGCAGTTACGAGTTGGTTGTCGGGTGTTAGTGTCATCATGATATTATTGAACAAAGACAGGGTTTTTAAAAAAAACAGAAAAAAAGGAGACCAAAAAAAACTTCAATATTTCTAAAAGGCATGATGACCTTTGTTGTTCCGTTTCGTGTGGATGATAATCTCTTGATGTTTTAACGACAACAGTTGGGTTTTTTTTAAGTACAGACATTAAAAAAACCCAGAGAAAGCACGAACGAGGATTGATAGTATATGTGTTTTGCCCCATTTGACATAGTTTAGATCATCTAGGAGGCGGTCTGTTTCGACCGCGCCTATCTGGGCCAATCCATGCCGTGTAGGACTCAGTGCCCCGGCAGAAATATGGAGAATATTAATATTACGCGTCATGCAGGATTCCCACGTAGAAATCGGAACAGACATATTATAACCATCATACCACAAACGCTGATGGAAGACCGAAAAGGAGAAAGTATGAAAGAAAGAAAGAACGAAAGAAAACGAACAAACATACAAACAAACAATAAACAAACAAAGAAACAAAGAAGAAAAAAAGATGGAAAAAGAAAAGATGAAATGAAGGAGAAACGAAAGAAAGAGAGAAAAAAAGGAAGAAAGAAAAAAAAAGAAAGAGAGACAGAAAGAAATTTCAGTATTCCTCGAAGGCATGCCTTTGATGTCTATTTTGATAACACATAATCACAGTGTTATTCTGACGTGCGACAATTTCAATGCGTTAAGGTAGGTGCACACTTATTCAACGCGTCCCAGCTTCCGTGGAATCTACTACAGACCAAAGGGTCAAAGGCAGCCCTTCCTAGTTTTCTGAGGCCCGCGGAATCAGTTGCCATATTTTTATATTTTTTATTTTTTTTTTGGGGGG